AGCTGATGTTTAGCCGGGGGAATCGGCATTAGGGTAGGACGCGTGTCTCGCTTTCGAGGAGCTTACGTAATCCAAGTTTCGCAAGGATAGAGACCCCCCGGGCGATTTGTGTTCGAACCCGGTCGCCAAGAGTTGGGGATAGTTGTAAGCTGCTTCGTCTGCTGGTTGACACCGGATTCAACAGCTTGCGAACGCGAGTGCGTGCTCGCGAGCCCGATGTTATTAAGCGTGAATGCGGCAGTGGAAATTAACGCTTTGCTGGTCCTAATTTACCCTCGACGCGTGTCTCCTTGCCTGCAGACTGTTTTACACAGTCGCTGTCGGACACAGCGCGGCCTTCTGCGGACGAAATACCAAATTCGACTATTCGCGCAATGAAAATTGAAGGTTACCGTTGGTAAGTCTATAGTATATAGAGTGATTTTCATCTGAAGAATTGAAATTTTGTAATAATATATTCTGTGCGAACAGTATGAGAATAAAAATTACTAGACATTTCTCAGTGAGAGAAGCAAATTACATTCATGAATCCGCGAATCGTACAATGTGGATGTCTGCGGACGAAATCCCAAATTCGACTATTCGCACAATGAAAATTGAAGGTTACCGTTGGTAAATCATCTATAGTATATAGAATGATTTTTATTTGAAGAATTGAAATTTTGTAATAATACATTCTGTGCGAATAGTATGAGAATAAAAATTACTAGACATTTTTCAGTGTGATAAGCAAATTACATTCATGAAAATTGGAGGTTGCCAAAGCAGTCCCTGCTATACAGAATGATTTTCATTGGAAAAATCAAAATTTTGTGCTAATAAGATTTGGAAACGTTTAATGTGTAGGAGAAAGTATTCAAACGATTGCTGCGACAATAATGAAAGTCACCTATTATCGAGTCACCTAGGATCCACAGAAAGAGTTAAAAGGATTTAAAATTCTAAAAATCGTCTAATTACCTGAACTTCTAAATGACCCAAAAATTCCACTATAATGTCGAATGAAAATCTCTCTTTCTTCTACGATACAATAACATAAAAAAGCAGAATAATAATCGTCATTGGTGCTGAAAAGAATAAAAGATATTTGTTAGAATGAATAATGGGAAGAATGTACGAAGTACTCGTCGACGGAAAGATAAAATATAATTGAAAAATATGCGCCTAAAAGGGACGTTCGTAAAATATAAGTTTATGGAGTAACGGTGCAAACTATTGGCCCATAAAGCAAATTTAAATATGGATGTATAAAATAAATTCGCGAAGTACGAGCCTACAAAATAAATCCGTAAAGTACAAGCGTGGAGAGTGTGTCCATAAAACACAGGGCCATAAAACAAATTTATAAAATGCGAGCCTACAAAGTATGTTCGTAAAAGACGGGGCCGTGAAGCAGTGTATAAAATATAAGCCAACAAAATAAATTTATAAAACAGTAGCTTGCAAAGTGAATTTGTAAAATGGAATGAGGATACGAGGAGAAATTTATAAAGCTATAATAAATAGGCGAAACAGTGTTATAAAGAATTCAATTATTTCGCGAATATCGCGCTACAGGTTCACAAAGAAATCAATAATAGCCTCGCTCTAACGGCACAAAGTCAACGTCTCGGATACAGCGAACACTTGATGCGGAATAAATTTCTCTCTGCTTTATAGAGCGCCGGCAAATAAAGGCTCTATCAATTCCGAATAAATATTACCTCCCGTTTGACCCATCGAGACCTGTTATCGATCTGAATATTCTTCCACGTGAAAAAGAAATTTAAAATAATCTGTATATTAATTTCAATTATTCCCTTATTCTCCACTGACCGATTCACTTAACACAACTACCGCACGAGACGAAATGATCAGCTTCAAGATTCTTATTTTGCGATTATTCTAAATAATAATAATCAATTTTATAAATTTACAAATAAAATTGAATGCAGAAATATTAACTGCTCAAATGTCGAGGAATCTGTTTTTCTAATTTTTAAGGACAATTTTCATTTATTTATAGAAAATGATCTTAATACAAGTTTCTCGGAATTTGTCAAGAGGAATCTTAAAATTGGAACTTAATAATTATGTCCTACAATTTTGTATTTTCTTCTAAATTAACAAATAACGGCAAAATGAATCTATTTTTATTTCTTCGCATCTAAATGTACAAATGTCACTTCAGATTTCTTAGTAAAATATGTATTCACAAAGGAATGATAAAAAATCGTGTCAAATAAATTTTAATTTTGCAAAACTTAAAATCAGTTTCATGAACGTCATTTTACATTTCCTGGTCATAATACGTATTCGCAAAAGAACGATAAAGATCGCGTTAAATAAATTTCAATGTTTCAAAAATCAAAATCAATTGGATGTACGTCACGTGAGATTTCTTGGTGGAAATGTGGATTCACAAAAGAACGATAAAAATCGTATCAAATGAATTCTAATTATGCAAAAACCAAAATCAATTGGATGAACGCCATGCGAGATTTCTTGGTAAAAAGTATTCATAAGAAACCGATAAGAATCGTGCCACATGAATTTCAATGTTTCAAAAATCGAAATCAATTGGATCAGCGTTCATTGAAGTAAAGTTAATGATTCGATCAGTTCGACCGAAGTTCGAGTTAAAGACTGAATTGAGAATCGCGAACAGGGAGGAAGTCAATCAACGCGGCTTATTCTGACAGACGAACGTCAGCGGCCGAGCATCTTCCGCGAATGGAATCGTAATTTGGCAGCGTGCCAGCCATGCCGAAAGACACACACACAGTGACGGGGCCACCGGTTTGAATAACGAGACATTTCGTCGTTCATCTTTGCCGCGGCAGGCCTAATGGCAATATTCCAAGCCTAACCGGAGCTGATGGTCAGCCGCGGTTACCTCGCGCGTCATCAATGGCCGTTTTAACAATTCCTGTTTAATGGATAAGCAATTCCGTTCGCCAATCGAAAATACATCGCCCCAGTCGGAGTATTCCTTGGATTTTGTACGATTAATAGGCTGCAGATTGTTATAAAGATCCAAACTATGGATATTTTAAGACTTGTCAATTCACAAAATTTCGAGGTCAATCTTGGTGATTTCAACTTAATGATACGTTTGAGGTAACATTGAGAAAGGAATGATACAGGTATTTTTAGAGATTTTATTAGATGTCAATTTTTAGATAGGAAAATGTCTCAAGATCTGTAAACTGAAATTGAAAAGAATTATGAAAGCTGAAGATTGCAGTAACATTAGTGATGCAAAAATAATATAAATATTTTTAGAGATTTTATTAGATATCAATTTTTAGATAGGAAAATGTCTCAAGGTCTGTAAACTGAAATTGAAAAGGATTATGAAAGATGAAAATTGCAGTAATATTAAAGAAATAAAAAGATATGAATGAAAATGGGTTGAAAGAAATGTTAGGATTGCAACAGAGTTGATAAGAATATGATTTCTTTGTTACATGCATTGTTATCGCGATAGAATTATGAACAGTATTTCATATTTCAGTGAAACTGTGTGTTTCATTACGTCCTCGCACGCTCTCGAATGCGGAGAATGCATTAAATCCGGCTGTCTAATGATTAATCACGCTGCTATCATGATATCTGCATACGAAAGCCAGAGTACCGTTAATTGAAAACCTCTCACCGCGAAGAAATATTGAAAAACACCAACAAAGGGAGAGAGCGCCGGTGAAATTCGCTTAAAGAAGATAGTCACGTTCCTGTCGTAACCGTGTTACTACACTTCAATCTCCAGCGTGGATAAGACACGCGTGATCGCGAAGATTTAGGGTTTAAACCTCAAATTTGAAAATTTAGATTTGAAACTACAAGATATTCTCGGCAACGAGGAACAGTTTCACGAACTCATACCAATACAGTACGAACAAGCATAAAAATAAATACAAACACCAACCCAATCAAACTATAATCCCAAAGGAAATTTCACTCCTTGCACTAATCACAATTACCACAAAACTTCCATTCAACATTCCCACTTCACTGAGAAAATAAAATTCCCATATAATCAACCTCACCTTTCCAAGCATCAATATTCCCCATTCTCTCAAACGCATACAAACAAACTTTAACACTAGAACTACCAGGTGAGTCGAAATTACCAATTCCTAATTTTTCCAATTATTACAAATCTACAACACACTTCTTTAAGAAACGATTAAACAACCAGATTTAGCAATACCTAAACTAAAATATACCAATTAAAATCTCAAGAAATTCCTTCAACTTTTCCAAAGAAATTTCAAAAGACACTTTGAGTACTCGGTAATTCTATCAACCGGTTTACCATTTTTACACAACTCTCACAGCAATATATTATAGTGGTTGCTATTAGATATTGAAAATGTGGATCTTCAGTAAAAAGAGAATTAGGAAACAATATATATGTATTTAATGAGATAAAGAAACAATGTGGACAACACGTAAAAATACAACTTAATACCACGAAGGCCAACACACGACTCTATCACGCACAAAAATGTCCTCCGCTGTCTCTCACCAAAATGTCCTTCTCGCACGCTTTCCCACCCGCTTTTAACACACCCCCATTCGCTCTGTCTTCCTCACCCTTGCACCGTTCTCACTCGCATCTTTCGTCCATAGTCAAAATTCACGCAGTCACGTACACGCCTTTCTCACGGTCCAGTCGCTCAGTTCCAGACACTCTTCCTCGCATTCTTTCAGCCACTCGAGATTTTCTAAACGCAGTCACACCATTTTCCAAACATCCCGGCGCCGGTCCGTCGCAATACGACCTGGTCGCCCTTACGCACGCACAACAAACCATTCATCCTACAATAAATATTCTAGATACTACAATATTTATAAGAAACGATTCTGACATTCATATTAACTATCACCCGACAATCAATGCACGAATTTCAATTCGAGCGGCGACGCCCGTGACGCAGCCTCAGCTCGCCGATTCTGAACGGTCCCGAATTATTCTCGTTCCAGGATCAGGACATGACCGCCACTGGAGAAAGGTGATGCGTCGAAACAACTGTTGGCTGGCCGTCCTGGCCGTTTCGACGGTGCTGCCTATTCTACGTCACAGTTCAGCGAGAGAACCGTTCCCGGCCGTTTATGAGCACCCCGAACACCGGGCGAACCGCAGCAAAGCAGCTTACCCGGCTAATCAACCCGCCCATCGCGCGGGAACGAACGACGACGGAACGGTTAGCATATTTCGCGACGGTACACCGAATACTGCCGCAGACCCTGTACCGCGTCCGCCCCGGAACAACCGGCCCGAATCCAGCAAAAACGGCAAACCGACCGACTCGGTAGCAATCCCCTGGCGACGGTCCAACCGACATGCAAATCCTGTCGACGCTATCTACGCCGAAGCAAAAAACAATCGTAGACGGCCGCCCGCGGAGGAAGCTAAGCTTGTGAATGGAGACGCCGTGGGAGGGTCCGAGGACGATGCAGCTTCCGTAGACGGATCCAACATCGCGAACGGATCGTCTGTAGAACAGGATGGATTTAATGGATCTCCCGCGGAGGAAGGGAAGTTGAGTGGAGTTTCTGGTGAAAAATACAAGATTAACAGTGGAGCCTCTGGAAGAAAGTTTGGATCTTCCGGCGAGGAGTCGATCGATGCAGCCTCTGTAGGAAATTCGAGATTCAGAGGTAGACTCTCTATAGGGGAAGCTAAACTCGGACGTGTTGTGGAAGAATCTGTATTAAATGCATCCTCTGTAGAAGATTCGAAATTCGAAGATGGAATCTTTACAGAAGAAGCTAAACTCGATGGACTTTCTACAGAAGAATCTTTCAATGGATCCTCTGTAGAAGATTCTAAACTCGAAGATAGAATCTTTACAGAAGAAGCTAAACTCGATGGACTGTCTGCAGAAGAATCAACATTCAACGGATCCTCAGTAGAAGATTCCAAATTCGAAGATAGACTCTCTATAGAAGAAGCTAAACTCGATGGAGCTTCTGCAGCAGAAAAGTTCGATGGCTCCTCTGTGGACAGTTCCAAGTTCAAAGACGGAGTATCGACGGAAGAATCTGAGGTTAAGAAACTTGTTACGAACAGATCGAAGCTCAATGGGCTGTCTGCGGAGGAATACAAGCTGCGCGGGCTCTCTCAGGAGAAGCCAACTGCCAAAGTAGCAATTTCCAAAGAACGATACAAAGGAGAAAGTCCGTTTAAGCATGCGTACGAGAAACTAAGAGGCGACCTTAGACCTTCGATAGAGGCCAGTGGATCTAATAACTCTCGATCGCTGGAGGATTCTCGGAGACAGATGCCGGCTGGGAAGCAAGTTTCAGGCGAGCAACGTTTATCGTCGTGGATTTCCCGCGGCGCGATGAAGATCTCGCCCGGGAGGAGCGACGACGTGACGCGTGGGGACTCCGGGATCGCTGGGGCGACGGTGCGAAGCAGTAAAAGAGGAACCGGCCGGGGAAGGGAGCGAAGGAGTTCGCAGAAGAATCTGGCGTACCGGGGCCATCGATATTTCAGTCACGTCGACGGCAGTCTCCGCGATGATGACTCGGTGACGAGGTACCTAGGCGAAGCTGGAACGAGAGCCAGCTCGGAGGATCGAGCGATAGAGTCGGGAAAATTTGATGTGGCTGATAGAGAGCGTAAAAACACTGTGTTCCCTGAAATCTCGAGGAGCCCCCATATTGGAGAGCGTTACGCGGGGCTCAACAAAATTGATGATGTCCACGGAGAGCAAGAAGTGGATGAGTACCAATTAACTGCAGGCGCATCAGCAAAAAGGAATATTGGAAGTTCGGATGAACCGAGGAGGGAGAATGGTTTTTATTCGATCGACAGGGACACTTTCGGTAAAATCGACGGCGCGAGAGAGAGCGCCGCGCTGCCGATAGTGGAGACCTTTCGCGTCGGAGAGAGATCCGTGTCGAAACTCGGTGATTACGGAGAGCAAACAACACGTCGGTTGATACAAGAAGTGGATGGTGAGTCGTCGGAAAAACCAACAAGCAAGATCAACGGAGAACAGCGTCGCCTGTTCCCGAACTTCCTAAGGTCGAGACTCAGCCAGCAGGATAAAACGCTGTACAATCTGATTAACGGCAAGCGCAGGCACCGCAGACACATTAAAATCACGGATGAACGGTACCCATTAACTTCCAGCCCGCCGAGCGCACGCGAAACTCGCGTAAACTTCGCCGGATCCGGCTCGCAGTTCCACTCGGCGGCCGCTGAGCGCGTCTCCCGGGGGGTTGGGAACGGGGATCCGGGACATTCGGGTTCTTGGCAGGTGCGGTGTCGCGTCCCGGCGTCTTGCGAATCGACGGGGACAGCGACAGATGCTGCACGTGTGCGCGATGTCTCGTCGAAGCGGAGATTAAAGGCGAAGAACGAGGATCTTGTAGACAATAAGAGTCCCCGTTCGACTGATCGGACTCCAAGCGCTATCGGCAATGCTCGTTCGATGTCCAATGGACCGGAAGAAGCTCCTTCGATCTTAAGAAACGGGAAACTCGATGGTACCAGCGACACGTTCGACTCTGATGCACTTGGCGGAGGACGTGAGCTGCTGGATGATGAAGGTAGCGCATCCTCTAACAAGTCTGATGACTCTTATGCGGGTTTTAACACATCGGAGGATTCTAAGGTGAACGCTGAGTTTGGGGGACAGAAGGCTGTCAAGGATGTGGAATTAAAGGTAATGGCCGGGGATGCAGCAGTGAAAGATCAATCTGGAAGTGTAGGTGCTAACGAGGGTTTAAGGGTTGCGGAAGCAGTGGGCGGCGCAGGAAATCTGGGGTGCGCCGAGGGAGATAGCGGGATAGATTGCGAGGATAAAAATGTGAAGCTGAGTGGACTGAACGATGAAGATAAGGGCAATCGGGAGGCTTCAACGGATAGATCCAATTATGTTGTCAATGAGAATGGCGGGGTGGATGATGGCGATGGGGGCGGGAGGGAGGATGAGGAATGGCGATGTTTGAGAGGAGATTGTGCATCTGGCGCGGTGGAAAATTTAAAGGTGGGCGGCGGGGATGATCGAAGAATAATTGGGAGATCTAGTTATTCTTCGAGTTACGACATGAACGGAGATCTCGAGGCTAATGGATTGGCGAGGAGTGGTGAAAAATTCGGGCAGTTGGTTGAACATTACCAGGACGATTTTATGGGAAGTAATGATACCAGTAATGAACGACGTGAGTTAGAAAGGGATGGCGATGTGTCGAACGATAAGTCCAATTATTCGATGAATTATAATCGGGAGAAAAACGAAAGCAGACATTCTGCTGGGGTACACCGGGAAGATTATGAAAATTATAATTTAATATTGAACGGAGAAAGCAATGACGATAAGAGAAGTGTGTCGAATAATGTATCCAACTATTCCATAAGTTCTAATATTGAACATTATACGGGCAACAATGCAACAATTGATGTACCATTAAGTGATCAAGCTATTACGGACCAGAGTAATCTAACAATGTTAAATAAAGAATCCACCTCGGCTATAAATCACAGTGAAAAGGAAACTTCAGCGGGTAAAAACGAGGAACATGAAAATATCCATAAGAAAGGGTTCATCGGCAGCAATATCGCGAACAATAGAAAATTAAGCGAGCAAAGTGATCGAACGGATAATCGAAGCGGACCGAACGAAGAATCCCCTTATTTCCCGAGCGACAATACAAATAAAGATCCCGAAGATAAAGGACCCGCACAGATGAGCGAAGAACAGAGCCGGCTAGACAAAGATGATTCGAGAGACTCGAGCGCTGCCTCGTCGATAAAAGGATCGACGGACGTAACAAAGAGCCCGCGGAACGCGCTCGCGGATTCCGAACGTGGCTCGGCTGCAGTCGGAAATTACCCTTACCTGAAAAACCTCACTAACACTCGAACCAATAGAACCCTCTCCGACCGTCGTCTAATCACCAGAATCTCCCAAGAAATCCAGCCAAACATCCCGACAGGAAACCTCCCAGCAAATCCTCCAATAAGTCCCCAAAACTCAAACAACTCAAAAGAAAATCCTCCGAAGAATCCCGAAACGTCAAGCAAATCAAACGAAAACCCTTCGAAGACTCCCCAAAATTCAAACACCATGCAAGACCCTCTCGCCTCGACGGAAACCTTGGAAAGACTCTCGTCCTCGGAAGGCAACCGCGAATCCCGCGGGAATCCCCTGGAAAGTCCGGCGAGCGTAGAAAAAGCAGACGAATCGACACTTGTTCGCTGGTCCGCGTCGAACGGATCGATCTCGTTAGCGACCGAGCGTCGCGCCGCGAATTCCGGCGAAAAGCTTAATGGGCCAGAGGCGGACGCGCCGGTAATTATTTTCGGCGGGCCGACGGGAAACGGCGGGGCGATCGGCGACGGGATCGGGGATAACGAACCGGTCGGATTTCGCCGGGATCGTGGGTCGACGGATAATGGAACGCGGAATGAGGTTAATCCGTCGGCGGAAGACGGACGGGTCGTCGCTGAAAGATTGGAGCCTCTGGGTAGCCCCGCGGAGCAGCTGCACGGCCGAAACGAGAGGAAATCCAGATCCTCCTACGGGAGCGGCGGGGCCAACCGTCCGACGGAGGACTCGTCGAATTTGCCCGCGCTGACAGGACCGACGGGTATC